CCTTCCATTAAGGACAATCTTCCAACAATGAGTTATTATATTATTCCTCCCACTATGATATTCAACATTGTAATTGCGAATAAAATACACCTCGCCTTGTTTAAGGCGATCTCGAAATATGCTCATATGTTGCGAACGTACTATTCCTTTCATGTATGAACCCTACATAGTTGAAATAATAAATAATACAAAAAAAAAATGTAAATTCAGTTTCGAAAATAATAAATAATACACACAATGAAATTAATGTTAATGATAAAATATTTGAAAATAATTACCCCTTCATCATGAAACAGGATATGAAAGGCGTTTGGATGCTCCAGATCGTCATGAGTTTCCAGCAGTAGAATTACTCTCAACTTAAAAAACGGTTTGCTGAATCGACTCACGACGTCTACTGTACCTCTGAATGGTGCCATAAAATAATTTTTGTATTTTGTGATTTTTGTTTTCCTACGCGTGTTGAGGATTTTTCCATCATCCTTTTTAGATATATATAGATGTGCAATTGCTTTTATTCCATATTTAATGGCGTGAAAAAATGATTTTTATTCCATTCCATACAAAAAATAATGTTAATCGGCAGTAATTTAATAGTGATAGTGGAGCCAAAAAAAATGGCTATGTACGTTCCAATTCCAAATTATGTGCAATTGCTGTTATTCCATATTTAATGGCGTGTATAAAAGATTTTTATTCGATTTCATATTTAAACGGGCAACAATTAATAGTGATTTAAAAAATTGTGATTAAAGTTGATGACATTGACATTTTAAAAATTATTAATTATTGCTATTTTAAAAATTGTTATTAAAGTTGATAGTGATATTTTTTAAAATTGTGATTAAAGTTCATGACATTGACATTTAAAAAATTATTAATTATTCATATTTTAAAAATTGTTATTAAAGTTGATAGTGATATTTTAAAAATTGTGAATAAAGATGATAGTGAATTTAAAATTTATGCAGTAATGGACAGTTGATAGTTTTTAATTATCTGAATTAAATTTAGGAACAAAATAAAATACTAAAATAGTATTATATGGATAATGGCAGCGATTTTATGATTTTTATTCCATTCCATACAATTGTTGTTATTCCATATCCATGTAAATCGGGCATAATTAATAGTGTTTTTCTGAAATTGGGTTAAATTACTCTTCATAGGCAGTAATTAATGTTTTTGGTGGGAATTAGTTACTAAAAATTAATTAAGTTAATCCTTATTATATATTAATAGATAGTGTGCAATTTATGTATTATTAATGTGCAAAACTGTACAAAATCACAACAAAAATCTAAAATACAAATATATTAAAACTTCTAAAATTTACAGATAAGCCCCAAAAATTATCAAATTTTAAAAACATATCCCCCAAATCAACCCTCTTCCCCGTTCTGACTTTGAGAAAAAAAAAAATTACACTTCCTCGTCAATTCTCTATGTCGAAGCCGACCCTCTTCCTCATCAATTCGCTGCCAAAATCATGACGACGTTATCCATGGAGTTCGCGGCCGTCGTCAACCTTGGAGAAGACGGAGGTTGTGCAGGTGGATGCTGTGGGCGACCTTCTCAAGGTCAATTGTATCGACGTCGCTCCGATCAGAACCGCGTTCGACCAATTGGACCAGGTTCTGATCGACCAATTGGACCTCTGGATTCTGATTCCCTCCGTCATTGAAGTCTGTGAACGACGGAGATGGGTTTGGAGACAGAAATCGACGGCGGCTTAGATGAGGTTCGAGACGATGGAGGCCGGCA